CATCTCGAAAGTGTAGGGATGTATCCTGCAACAATAAAGTTCAGCTAGGTGTTGTAGAGTTTGTTCCCTGACTTTGTCCTTTCCAAAGGCTAATAGTTAAGCTGAACTCCTCTTTTCAGATGGTTTTCATTTGGATACTATTAGTGGTATATAAATGTAAGTAGCATCCCCAAGTAAGTAGGCCTGAATTACCCTTGTTCTTCTTAACCATTGCTATTTGATGTTATTATAATATGTCTTTGATATTGTCTGTTCTGTTCTTCTGGGTCTAGCTCATATTCTTGACCTTCTTCTCTTTTGTATGGTATGGAACCCAAACAATGACACCCACTGATGTCAAAATTATGGGCACAACAAGGTAACTGCCTACTCCTTTTTAACATGCATTGCAGAATTCACATTGACTTAAAACTTCCAGAGTTTGGATCACCTCATTAACTGCTATTGTGGACTTCCTAGGAATCAATTACATACATAGTTATCAAGAACTTAAAAACATTTGTGTTGTTCAGCTCAAAGGGTAGTTTTTCTTTTCTTTTTTTTCAGTCTTACATATAAGATAATTAGATAAGAGTTTTTAGTTTAATTGCTCTTTTCCAGATTTTAGATTTATAACCACTAAATTTTGTAGCAACTGGCAACAATTTCATCTATAATAGTATGTGGACAAATGGTATTTTTTCCATGATCTGTTCCTGAATGTCAATTTTTCTCAAATTAGGGTTTACTGAGAATTTTGGCAAACTGGTAGCTATTTGTTTGTATTTTTGTACGTGTTTGTGTGTGTGCGTGTGTGTGTGTGTGTGTGTGCAGAGAGATACTTCACTTTCATTTAATATGCTTGAATTTCAGATTGGACTCTCCAATTTATATAATTGGGGATAGTCTGAATGAGGTTTTCATTAAAAGAAGTGTCTGTTCACTATCATATGTGTCTTTAGCACCAGATATAAATGCACTCAATTTTGATAATAGTGATTGAAGCTTTTCCTCTTTATAAGAAAATTATTCATTTTCTGTTGAACTCTTTGAAGTCCTAGCTTTCATTGTAAAATGAAAGTATCAGAATCCAGATTTTATTATTAAAGGAATTATATAGGTAGTCCTCATTTAGGGACTGCCTTATACAATGAGTGTTCGCAGTTATAATGGTGATGAAAAAGTAACTTTGCAGCAAATCCTTATATTTACTACCTGCAGGTGTGTAAAGCAAAAGAAAGTTGAAATAAATTCATAAGCAATCACAGTTTCACTTAGCAATTGCTTAACAACTGAGTTGCCAGTTCCAACTATGGTCACTAAATGAATGATCTTTATGAAAATGTGGGCTACTATTAGCCACTTTTATTTTCTCTTTTCTCCATTAAGTAAGAAGAGATAACAACTTCATTATCACAGTTTTTCTGGAACAGAAGGTACAAAATTTCAAGTTCCTATTACATTTGAGATAGATACTTGATAACCCAAAGACTTTCTGTTCCTCACTAGCGAAGATTCGTTTTATGCTTTCTGCAAGGGTTTCTCTTTGCCTCTAGCACATAGTACTATGAAACAGCTTAAATACAGATTGTGTTCCTGAGAACAAGAATTATACTAGCTGAATTCTCTAATCTAGCACTCTTATCATGTATAGGTTTACAATACTCCCAGTTGTATAACTAGGGGTGTTGTGGACTAGTTCATACAACAATACTGTATTGAATATACTCACAGATAAGCCAGAAAAAAATTAGTTCAAAAATACACACACAAAATTGGGTTCAAGTTATCTGTAGACCAAAGTTCAGGTTTTTTGTAAAGCCCATCCCAGCCTTAAAATTATGTGGTTTTATAAATTATGTTGTAACAATTTACAGTTTCTCACCCATCGCTATACCTAAAAATTAAAGGTTCAGTTTATCCACAGGAGGTATATTTTTCATGGTATTTTGGTTGAAGTTTTGAGGGCTAATTTATCTGCAGATAAGCCTATCCAAAATTATATATGGTAACTACTTCAATAATTTATAAGATGAGCTGTCACACAGTGACCATCAATACCACTGCAGACACATTGCTGAATAGATTACAATGCTTAGCAAACCATTTTTCCCTGTGAACATTCATGACATGGTATCTCTCTAGTGACTTGAGTCCGGGGTGACTTTCCAAGCTAAAACTTGACTGAAGTGAAAGCTGACCTTTCACAAGGACCCTGTTACCCCTGAGACAATCTCTTTGGCAGGAATCACTTTTCTAGTCAATTTTTGACAGAGGACCATTGTTTGGCCAATGAAAGGCTAAAGAGGAAATGAGAGCTTAGCTGTTATATGATAAGTTGCCCAAAAGCTATTATTCTAACTCTCTAGCCATTTATTCAATTTGCCTGAAAAGATAAAAATATTTAGAAGTAAAGGGTTACAACTCCAAATAAATGTTACAAGCAATGTACCAAACAAATTCAGAAGCAACAAAAAGCTGGACTATATTACAAGGGAGCAGAAGAAATATCTCACTAAAGATACTTCTACTAAAGTGCATTCTCCTAGAAGAAACAATTACTGGAGAGAAACGGCTGTTTTGTTTATTTTTTCACTTTTATTGTCAACAGAGAATTTGAATTTTCTTCATTAGAACTGTTTCACATATTCTTAATCTCTGACAAATAAAAAAGCCACTTAAATGTAACTGAAATAGGCATGCCTCACCTAAATAAAATTCACAAATGAACGAACCTGTTCTTTGTTTCCACTAAGGATTCAGGCCATTTGGTTATTATATAATCTAAATAATTATCTCTTCCCTGCTAAAAAAGCAATACCCAAAGATAAGTCAGAGCAACTTAATTGGCTTCATCAGCAACTGTACCAATCACGATGATATTCAAATTACCATTGTCATAACTATTGTGATTATGTTATTGCACCCTGATAGCTGATGGGATGGGGCTTACATAATGACATATGACATCATTGGTTCTCCCTCCCTCTTCCACGGATTCCCATAATGTTGCCCAACATCCCAATGGAGCCAGCGAAGAGAGCAACATTTCAGATTTTCATTAGAATTAAACTCACTAATGCTAAATTCCAGAATTCCATTCATAGCCTCAGACATGAGAGTCATTTATTCTACAATCTTTGGAATATTATGTCATAGAGAAAAAAGTTAGTACTTCTAAGCATTAACACTGTCCTTTAATTACAACTGTGTTATCGCATGAGTTTTCCCAATTTCCTATAATACTTTTGCAGAACCATTTATTCTAAAGTAGATTATGTATACACTAGCATGTATTTTAAATTCTTCCTTGATTTTTTTGAAAACAGAGTTGACTTCCAAATATTTTTGCAGCTAAATCTTTTTAGGATCCTGTAACATCATCTCTCTGTAAGTTATTTATAACTAAGTAAGTTATAAACTAATTTTATAGTTAGACTATTTCTCTGCTAATTTGTTAAAAATTAAAAATTTTGCTTATTGCCTCTGATTAATCAAGTTATTTATGTTAAATATTGAAAACTGTCAGCATATTTTTTTTTCATTTGCTTTCCTCTACATTCAATTCTTTGTTGTCCTTCTTGTCAGAAAGAAAAACACTTATTATAGAGTCTTTGGTGTTCTCTAAACTTGGTTGTTTGCTTGCAGATGTTTCATTACCCAGCTAGGTAATGCCATCAACCCTAGTGAGTGTGGATTTGCTCCCATGCTCTCTAGGAAACAAGGGAATTCACTAGGGCAATGGTTCTCAATCTATGGTTCATGGATGGGGGGGAGGCAATGACATCACAGGGGATCTGTGAAGGCTTGAAAAACATATTATGATTGGGATCCATGGTCTGTGGTCACAAAATATATTTAAAGGGGCTCTTTGGTGAAGAAAAGGTTGAGAACCATTGCTCTAGGGGTTGAGATTGATTGGATTGAGAGAGAATGAAGGCTCCAAAGTCATTTAGCTGGCTTTCATGCTTAAGGCAGGACTGGAACTCAGTTTCCTGATTTCTAGCCTGGTGCTGTAACTACTAGATCAAATTGGCTTTGTACATATTAGAACATATTTGAAATAGAAATGCAATTCTACATAGATTCCAATTGCAATATGACTCCTCAAAGATAGTATGAAGTTGAACAGATTTTTGGATATATTTTTAAACGCCTGTATTTTGACTTAGGTCTTAGATTCCATTACTTGATCTCTTTTGTGTACCTGTGTTTTTAAAATGTGGTGGTTGGGAAAACTTACAAATATTCTTTGACTACTAAATCAATCCAGTGGAAAAGAAGGTGCAACACACCAGGATAAAATGTGGCTGCCCAGTTTGCGCTTCAATGTATTGTACCGTGTTTACAGGAAAATTCCCCCATCCTAGGCTTGAATTGGGAAGCAGGGATTCCAGTTCAGAACCAAATAGTAGCAGTCAAGACAAGCCTGAGCAGATTCTGTATCCGAATCACCAAACTACAGCAAAATTCCCACCGAGATTTTTCTTCAAGTATAGTCAAAGCAGAAATTTAACGAGATCAAGTCTCAGAAAGCCCAGGAACCTACTTTTGATGTGGTGCACCCTGTTATCCACACCGTCATTCATCTGACTTAGACGCTTCGCTTCCTGAGATAAGGACCTCTGGACCCTAAATCTTAGGGTGAACGTCGGGTTTTTGCACAGCACCGAGCACTTTACAAGTCATTCAAGAAGCGCAAGGCTCAGCAGCCGGAATGCCGCCATCTCTTCCCTTTGAAAGCACAAATGCAACAGTTATTCTTAGCCTAGCACCTCTCCCATCCTTCTCCTTCTCCACAGCGCACCAGTAGGCACACCTCTTTGCGCCAGTGCACGCAAGCAGGCGAACGAAGCCAAAGTTGCGGGTCCGCTCTCTATCCTGAAACCTAGAGCCTACCTGGCAAGCCTTCTGACCCACCAGCCCCAAACAAGGCCTCTTTTGCATCTTGCCCTCTCTGCATCCGCCGCGCCCGTCAGCCCAGAGCATCTGGTCGCGGTAATCGGACATTCGCTACTTACCAAAGGGCGTCGCTGCGCGCCGAGACCCCAACTGTCCCAACGAGGCCGATCTCTCGGCGCACCTCTGCTCGCTACTGCTTCCAAGGAAAGTGGGAGACCCCGGCGCTTCGCCCCCCTCAGCACACAAAGCGCGGCACTGCTTGTTTCCTCCTTCTCTCCTTTGTGTGCGAGTGCGCGCGCAGCAATCTCTCAGCCCCTCGAGCTTCCCATCCTACTTCGCTCTTTCTCTCCCCACCTCTGTCTCTCCCCTTAGGCTCCGATGAATCCCCGCTGCTTATTCCCTTCTTCTTCCCCCACCAAGACGAGGGCGCGGAGCTTCAAAGGGGACGCGGTCGGTGGATAAGTCTGAGTGTGTATATGTGTGAGACAGATCAGGATCCCCGCGATAGACAACCAACCGCCTTAGTAGCCTGTCGTGGAAATCAAATGTCGCTCAGAGAAACAGCGGTGGCAGTCAAAAGTTCTTGAAGTCCAGCTCCGAATCTGGCCAATCAGATGTCCTTCCCTGGAAAAGCTCCCTAACAAAGAGCAGAAGCCCAGCAAGGATTTCAGTGGGCATTTAGTGCTTTGAAATCGCCTGTCTCAGTCCCTCTGAACAGGTTATTTCAAAGGATTTATTTGTTGACTAACAATATCCAGTGGCTGCTCCTTCCATAGGTCTCACTAAAGGTGCATCCTTTGGTAGTCTCCAAACAGATCCTAAAGCTCCAAGCACTGAAAGATCACACCTACAGTTTCTGGACATGATACTTGGGGCTTTTAATCACTGTCCTGTGACCTTTTCTCATTGATTTATTTTGTTAGATTTATATTCTCACTAATGTTTTTCAGGTGCTCAAAGAAATACATGCAGTTAGCACACCCTTTTCCAAGATTTTCCCCACCCCACAACCCAATCACCTTCTATGATTGAGGGAGAATTTAAATCAGGATCTTCCTGGTCCTAGCCCAACACCTTTACTGTATTGTTTTTAAAACCCGGTGTTACTGTCTATAAAAATCCAGTTATTTACAAAAGAAATCACTTACCAACACAAGTAAAAATGCATGATACAAGTCTTTCCAACATCTCTGAAATCCAGGAGAAAAAGTGATTCTTTAGAGAATGACTACCTGTATATGTCTAAGGAGATTCTCAGTCATTCCTGTCATGGTTGTCCAAAAAGGTGCTTTTTTCAAGAGTCAACTGGACTTTCTGGTTTTTCTTTAAAGATATTTTGCTTCTTATCCAAGAGAAGAGCTGAAGAAGCTTCCTGGATAAGAAGTGAAATGTCTTTGGAGAAAAAACAGAAAGTCCAGTTGCCACTAGAAAAAGCACCTTTGAGAATACCTGTGTAATTTCTCCAAAATTTACCATCATATTAACTGAATATAAGAATTTAAGATGTATTCTGGGCTCAGGACATATATGATCTAAAATTCTACAATCTAAAATAAGTGTAGAGGAACAAGACAAGAAATGGAATTTGAATTTATTTATAAGTTGAATTACAATACATTAAAATTGAAATAACCACCAGCATCTCACCCAAATGAGCACACTCCAGTCTGTGGATTTTATCATAATTGCAGTCTCCTCACACCAGCATACTTATCAAGTGAGATAGATATATGCACTTCAGTTTGAAAGGCTCTGATAGGGCAAAAGAACAACATAACAAGGACAAACGCATCATGCCTGCAACATTATTCAGTTGTTTTGCTGTGCTGATACTCTACTAATAGGCAACTGCACCAATATGTGCCTTGATTAAATACAGTAGCCCTTATATCTATCTGATCCTTGGTCAGTTTTAACTCTAGTATGCTAGAGATTTATGTATCTTAGTTTGTTTTAATGGTAATCTTAATGTAACTTTATTGTTTTGAGCTACATTTCTGCCATATCTGGGAAACCGTCTCACCAATCAGCCTTAAGATTTTTCCCTTCAAAAACACAGAAACAGAATTGCAAATGTCTCTTCCCAAAACTCACAATCTCTGAGAAAGTTTTCTACTCAATAGCAGAGCCCTCCACACAAACAGACACTGATGACTTTCTTTCTGGGGAGATATCATTAGGTAGTATGCTTTGCTCACTCCTATACTTCATATCCTGTAAATAAATAATATGTCTGCTATAATGCATGCATTGCTCCAGCCAAATTCCCACTTTCACACAGAATGTCTTAACTTCCAATATCCACTTTTTGCTTTAATTTATACTTAATTGATTAATCACTGAAAGCAAGATGGAACTATAAACGACACAGGCAATTTTTTACATTCTGATTCCTTTAAAAAGAGAGAAATTATGTTTTCCTTCTGAAGTGACTAAAAGTCTTGGTTTATTAAACAGTTCCCTATGTTACTTTTTACGTTGGCTGGCATTCACAACAACACTGTACTTATAAACTGTCCAGATCTGCACTGTATTTCAGTTCAGTTAACAAATCAATTATCAGTGTGTGAAATCCAAGCATGGACATAAGGGCAGCCTAATAAGACTGAGGAAGGAAGTGGTGATAGTGCTGTTATGCTGGTATCTTAGCAATCATAGCTACCAGGAAAAGCACATATCTAGAAACACGTACAAAAATGACAGGATGCCTTTTTCCCGTGGTACTCAGAGCACCTTGCTACCAGCAAATAAATCAGCATTCCTGAAAAAGGATTAGCTGCTGATAGAACCTGGGGACATTTATTTTAAGAGAGGAGCCTCCACTCTTGTACAGACAAAGGGAGGAAGAAAGAAGGTCCAGCAGAAGAGTAGCGGGTGGAGAATAAGGGAAGATCCAGATAGAATATAAACTCAGCAGTTGGTGTATGCAGACACCTACTATGCCTAGTAGGTGTTAGGAACTGAAAGAGAGAGAGAGAGAGAGTTTAGGCAACACAAATGTTCACAAATAGCAAAGGAGTGGGAGGGAGACAGCTACCACTGCTACATTCAGCAAGAACTGTGCTCTCTTATCTGTTATTTTAGCTTTTGGGGGGAGGGTGTTGCTCAATCTACCTCTCAAATTCTGTGGTTAACAGAGTACCTGAAAGAAAGATGACCGTGAATTAACCATCTCACCAATCACACATGTGCACGCACACGCACACACACACAATTCTGCACAGTATCCATCTCTACAATCTAGGTTGCTAATTCCAGCTGAAACAAATTGCTGAGATTTTTTTATCCAGTAAATGTGTTGACACTTAACACATATATCATATTTGTATGTTTGTTTTACATATGTCTGCAAAAATTACATTCTAGAAAAGGACAGGGCCAGAGAGGAAAAAATGAATAATTGATTATAATTAACCTGTAGTTAAAAAATACCTTTTTATAAAATTAATTCATCTTCCATTTGACAACCATTCTCTCTCTCTCTCTCTCTCTCTCTCTCTCTCTCTCTCTCTCTCTCTCTCTCTCCCTCCCTCCCTCCCTCTCTCTCTCATGCACATAATTCTTACATACAGAAATATGCACAATTTCTTTTTCTAGCAGAAAGAAAGCAGGAGGGGAATAGAAAGAAAACAAACAGAACAGAGATGTTCTAAAGTAAAGAAACAATTCCACTTGAAAGGGAAAAGGAGGACTCGGATGGATAAAAAATGTTACAAAACATGTTAAAATTCTCAAGGCAAAATGCCCTATCCCACAAGAGTTAATCTTCAGGGTAAGTTTAAAAGCATCTATCCTTTTCAATAGATTATAGTGGTCTATAATTATTTGCCCTAACATTTCTCTTTCCATTTTCCTTTTTCTTTTCTTGCTTCTTTCTCTGACTGCTGGATATAGGTTTAATCACACTGTACATATTATACATCTCCACAAGGCTGAGACTTGTCCCATGGTCACATGCAAATTGGGTTACCTCTCTATGGGTTAGAGTTTTAAAACAAACGGAGGATAAGGTGACATGTGAACTGAGGCTGAAAAAGGACGTGGTTTGCCCTTGTAACCTCCTTGAAAATGGGAGAATCCAGATAATCAAAGTGGAAGGATATTTTATTCAGAAGACATTTATTCCGTAGAAAGAGATAAAATGTCTAGGCTGGAATTTGCAGGTTTGGGATTTTATTTTCTGCCAAATCTCATCTTGTAGTTATAGTTCTCTACAATTTATGAAATCAGGTGTTTAATACAGGCATTCTGATATAGATAGATAGATAGATAGATAGATAGATAGATAGATAGATAGATAGATAGATAGATAGATAGTATTGCACATATCAAACTACCACAGATAGTCCTTAAATTATGACAATTCAGCCCAAAGTTCCTGTTGTCAAATGAAACATTTAAATGAGTTTTGCTCCATTTTATGATCTTTCTTGCTGTACTTGTTAAGTGAATCACTGCAATTTTTAAGTTGGTAACGCAGTTGTTAAGTGAATCTGGCTTCCCCATTGATTTTGATCACATGACCATGGGGATGTTGTAATGGTCATAAGTGTGAAAAATGGTCATAAGTCACAAAGTTATTATTGTAACTTTGAACGGTCACTAAATGAATTGTTATAAGTTGAGCATTACCTGTATTCTTTTTCATAAATACAATTTAGTCATAGTTGATATTGAAACATTATATCAAAATTTCCCCAAAACATGGATTTCAAGCAATCAATAGCATCATAATTGATGCCAGCATAGTATATAGTGTGATTATTTGCCCATAATTATTTTGCCTTTGTATCTGCAAGTCAGAGACATAGCAATGGCATATACAGATCCTAAATATACCAAATACTTCATGGCTGAGCTAGAAAAACATTTTCTTAACCCTCGCCCCTGAACCACATCTTTTACTTGGGATTCTGTTATGACATTTTAATCAATTGGACCCTAGAAATAAATGTCTTATTAAATGATCTCAATAACTTCTATCCTACCATGTTCTTCCACTGTGATAGACATTGTCATGTGACAGAAATGCTCCTTGGATTCTATTTAAGATAAATGAAACAAACATTAAAGTTTGACATCTATATTCAAAACAAGGACAAAATAATATTAGGACATTTCAGCCTCCCAGGAAATTCTATAGCAGATAACAGTACCTTCAAGGGATAAATGGTTACTTTCTCATACATCAACATCAAAACATTTTAGATTATCCTAGATTCAATATCCCAAAGCTGCTTTTTTCCAAAAGACAACTAGATTTTTCCTTGA